TAAACAAGTTTGTGATAATAGCTGCCTAACTGTAAATTTACTAAAGTCATTGAACATAAACTTAAAACAGGTAATTTTATGGTATTATCCTATATAATAAAAGCCTAATATGCTAAGAGTCTGGTCGACTGTTCAACCAATCAAAGCATAATATGCTAATGATATGCTAAGGCCACTCAACCGCTTGCTATGATGTACACTGACCATCAGAGGGCAGACAGTCGACCAGTCGACATGACATACACTGATCACCAGGGGGCAGATGCTCCGACTGGTAGGTTAGCTTGCTGCTGGGATCTGGCCAATCGGGACTGAGCGAGATGGGCAGGACACTCCCTGGAGCCCTCCCACGGTCCCTCCCCGGCCTGATCGTGCACTGGTGGGTTCCCTTGGCCTGGCCTGCACCCTCTCGCAATCCAGGACCCCTCGGGGGATGTCGGAGAGCCGTTTTCAGCCTGATCCCACAGGCCACTCCCCTCGGGAGGGCACCAGACGCAGGGCTCATGGCTGTCGACTGCTGCTGCGTCAGCGTGAGCCTCTCCTGATTGGAACTAATTAGGTGCAAGCCCATGGCAGGCACAGTGGGGCCGGGATGAGCAGGAGCGGCAGAGAAGAGCTGCAGGCAGTGTTGGACTGCGGGTTTTGGCCCAATCCCTGCAGGCCACCCAGAGGGGCCCCACCTGTGCATGAATTCGTACACCGGGCCTCTAGTAAATTATATTTCAATAAACTTTAAAAAGTCTAGATATCCCACCTGCCCAAGTGCTACTTGCTGTTGATTCATGAAGATTACTCTAAAAGTAGCCCATTAACAGTGTGTTTGTTTTATGAAACCTTTAGTACAGATGAGTGTGATTAGACCAAGTAGAATCACAGAGCTTCTGGATGAAGGAGTCCAAAGATTACAGGTTTCCTGATGACATTTCTTTTTAAACATGTGTTTTTAATAAAATTTTTCTGGGCCACATTATAGAATACAGGGTAGGGGAAGAATTTCATTACTAGTCCCACAGGTCTAAAAAGATGTGGTCTTTCCCCTCTTCAAATAAGTGAAGTTATTGCTTTATTAATCATTATAGAACAAGAGGCCCGATGCATGAAATTCGTGCATGGGTAGGGTCCCTAGGCCTGGCCGGCGATCAGGGCCAATCTGTGGGGTGACTTGTGGGGCGCCCCGGCCCCGCCTCCACCACCGCTGGTCACCTCCCCCTGTGGGACGACTAGTGGAGCAATTGGAGGGGCCCCCGCTGGCACCCACCTTGGCTGGCCTGGGGCCTGCAGGCTGGGGGCAGCTCCTGCATTGAACGTCTGCCTCCTGGTGGTCAGTGCATGTCATAGCGACTGGTCATTCCACTAGTGTTCCGCCTTTCAGTCGATTTGCATAGTCTTTTATTATATAGGATATTTAAAACGTATATACACAGCAGAAGGCAAACATACACTAAACTGATAGTTATCATTAGGTATTGCATTTGCCCCATTTTTGCGCGCGCGTGTGTGTTTTAACAGCTTAGTTGAGTATTATAGATATACCAGAGACCCGGTGCACGAAATTTGTGCATGAGTAGGGTCCCTAGGCCTGGCCGGAGATCAGGGCTGGTCAGGTTCCCCGCCTCCCAGCCTCCCCACCTCCTTCCTCCTTCCCTCGCCACCAATGGGATGCTACCACGTGGTTCCCCACCTCATGGCCTCCCCGCCTCCTCCTTCCCTTGCTCCCTCAGCGCCCCACTGCCGCTGGTCGCCTGCAGTGTTCCACGCTGCCACCTGGTGGTCAGCGCACATCATAGTGAGCAATCGAACTCCCAGTCTCCCAGTCAAACTCCCGAGGGGACAATTTCCATATTAGCCTTTTATTATATAGGATAACATAAGTAAGTTAAAGGTGTACAGTGTGATGATTTGATACATGTATGTATTGAAAAATATTACCCCAATAAGGCTGGTTAACACTTTCATCTCCTAACTCCATTTTTTTAAAGATCATATCTAAAATTTTCCTTGTATTACTAGAAATTCTTCATAAATATAATGTTTGAATCCTACATCAGTGATACAAATTTCACTTTTACCTCATTTTAATTATTTCCAACTGTGAACTATAATTTATAATGCTGCATGGAATGTTGCAGGCAATTACTAAATCAAAGGTATAGACATTTTTAGTGAATACTTTTGTAAACTGTCCACAGAACGATTACAGCTGTGTACATTTCATCACTGGTTTTTAAAATCTCTCATTTTTTGGCTTTATTTAGTTATATTTTTATAAAATTCTCTGCCAAAATCAAGTATTAAAAAATGTGCCATATGCTGTGCTAGGTGCAGTGAATAAAGAGATGAACAACACAGTTTCCATTCACAAGGAATTGAAATCCAAAGAGGGAGACCCTGAAAGATGCTGTCTCTATTGGTTTTCTGCTCTAAATACTAGTCCAGAAGTGTGAGCCATACAGATGTGGAGGACAGAGAGGACCACCCCATTCAGTCTGCCAGGGAGGAAAAATTTCCAAATGAGGTTTGATCTTAAAGGCTGGGCTTTCAAGTTAGAGATGTGCGTTTTCAGATAGCGTGAATAGCATGTACTTTACTTTTACTAGCAAGATTAGCAACCCTCTAAATGTCTGCTGACCTATTCAGAATTGCCTTATAATTATGTCTTCCTCCCTTCCTCCTTTCCTTTCTTCCTTGGCCTGAATTTAGTTATATTTTTATAAAATTCTCTGCCAAAGTCAAGTATTAAAAAATGTGCCATGTACTGTGTACTATGTATTCCATCAGAGTTAACCATATAGTACAGTTAATGTTGGGGAGGGGCAACACACATTTATTGAAATGAAAATACAAGAGAAGGGGCTATTTCTCAAAATTAAATTTTATTTTTGAAAAAGAAAAACAACTTAATCAACATACAGAATAAATGTGAGGGTCCGATTTGAGGAGAAGTTGGCATGGATCCCTTGACTTAACTCTGGTTTAATTTTTTGTTTATAAAAACATAAAAGTGGCCCTGGCCAGTGTGGTTCAGTTAGTTGAGTGTCATTCCATGCACCAAGAGGTTGAAAATTCGATCCCAGGTCAGGGCACATGCCTGGGTTTTGGGCTTGATCCCCAGTAGGGGGCGTGCAGGAGACAGCAAATTGATGCTTCTCTCTCGCATCTCTCTCTCTCTCTCTCTCTCTCTCTCTCTCTTTCTCTCTCTCTCTCTCTCTCTCTCCCATCCTCTCTCTCTCAAACATTTTTTTAAAAGTGACCACCTCTACAATTAAAAGGTTCTAGGACACTGATTCTCCTTAATAGAGTAGGGACAAAGCACAGGCACTAGAATAGGATAGACTGAAATTAGAATCCTGGTTCCATGTTTCTACTAACTAACACTATTGTGTCAGTTTCTCTGCAGTTCTCTGAATCTCAGTATCCAATCTGTAAAATGGAGATAATGAGATTAAATGAAATGATGGCTACAAAGTGCTCTCGTTCCTATCTAGAAACTTTTTCAGACACACACTGTCTTAATTCTGAGGAGGATGAAGTAAAAAGAACAAGAGCTATTCTATTCTTTTACACATTCATAAAAATTAATCAAGAGCCCTGGGTGAGTGAAGTAGATAACTGTCCAGTGGTCCCACATTTCCTGTCAGAATGCCTTAGATAATACCTGCCTCCTAGATTATATCTTGGCTATTTATTGGGTGCTTATTCTGTGCCTAGGCTCTCCTGTCCCCAGGCCAGACTGCTAGTTAAAGCTGAACTTACTGAATCCTGAAAAGTCCACAGGACTCTCCTGGGTTTCCATCTGGCATAAGCTTGACGAGAATTTTCAACAGAATGCTAGGAAATCTGATGAACAACAGCCTCTCCCCACTGGCTGAAAAATGGTATAAATTTTATGTATTTTTAAAATGTTAGCTGCCTTAAATTAATTTTAGAAATAGATTCTAACTGCCTGCACATGTTGTTTGGTAAAATGTCTGAGACCCTTTATTCCGGTTAGAAAATAACACTGAACATAATGACTATATTCATTGTACAGTGACTCAACATTTATCTTGTCTTTCTTTCAGAGTCTGTTCTTGATCCTCACAATGTCCTAACCGACACGCCTCTCTTAATCCAGCAGTTATGCCCCCATTTATAAAGTTGGCTCCATATAAAAACCAGCCGAGGAATCCTTCCACTATCCACAGAATCAGACCAAAACCGTTCATTCTGGCCTGCTTTACGCTCCACTTCCTGACTTATTCTCATTCAGCCCAGTCCTCATGCCTACGATTACTCCATTTATAGGCTTATTTCCCGACTTGGGACCTGTCAGCAGCCTTCTCCTCTGGCTCTGATTTCTGGCTTTCCTTAGTAACTGTGATTAGTATTTGCCCCCAGTGACTATATTCCTTTAAGTCATGGTGGACTAATGTTTGGCCAGGCCCAGGTGCTGGCTAGTACTTCCCGGGGCCAGTGCTTCCATACGGTATACGTACCAGTCTAAACACTCAGACCCTGTCTAGGCTTCCCATTCAGTCACACTTAAGGACTACAGGAGGGCATTTCCAGAGCTAACAAACATGGCAGTCAGTTTCCTCCTACTTGTCCTGCTACTAATAATTGTAGGCAGTCTCCCTTACCTCTGCCTTTGGCTCAGCTGCTTCGTTAGAGGTATCGAGTTGTTCCTTGGCTTGGGCCATCTGAGTCATCAACCTGTCCATGTGGGATTGGATGTCTGCCAGAATCTCAGTCACATGAGCTGTGGCCATCGCTTCCTGGATGTCCACTAGATGAAGGGCCTTCTGTTCCTCATCAGCAATCACTTTCTGAACTTTCTTAAATTCCTGCTGTATAAACACCTTCATCTGGTCCCGAGTTACCTGTAGCGCACAGACAAGTAAGAAGAATGAGTTGGGCACACAAAGAAATGGGAGGTTAGAGCTATTACAGTAAGTGCTAGGCAGCCATGCCAAAGCACAAATCATGGCTCCTATCCAATCCTAAAGTTTTGGGAATATCCTCCAAACAATGTTCCCCTAATACCTTTAATGAATTTCCTGCTAATTTTTTGCCTCTTTCATTTTTAGGAAATAATTTTTTTTTATATATATAAATTTTTTATTTCAGAGAGAGGGGGAAGGAGAGAAACATCAGTGATGAGAGAGAATCACTGATTGGCTGCCTCCTGCACACCCCACACTGGGGATTGAGCCTGAAACCCAGGCATATGCCCTGACTGGGAATTGAAACTCGACCTCCTGGTTCATAGTTCGATGCTGAACCACTGAGCAACACCAGCTGGGCAGGAAGTAATTCTTTATCCTCCTTTTTTATTTCCCTTTTGTTCATTTTTATATCAGTAATACATAAATGCTTTTTAAAAATTTAATAAATGAGCATATATGGTAAAAAATGAAATTCTCCTTCTCTCACCATTCTTATACCATTTTCCTCCTTAGAAGGATATTACTATTAACAATTTAGTGTGTCCTTCCAGCCATTTATATATAAATAATTGTTTTTATATAAATTGATCATAGCTAATATATGGTCTGTGTCTTAGTTTTCTATTTAAAATATGTTAGTTCCTACAGATCAACTTCATTCTTTGTACAATTTTTAATATCTGTATGATAAGAATATATATGGATATTTATATTATTTATCAATGTTTTCAATAGATAAAATTGAAAAAATATTAAGGTATTTATTTATTTAATGGATAAATATCTCCATTAAACATATATGAAAAAATTTATATATACATTCCCTTCTTAATGGAAATACAGGATATTTCCAATTTTTTGCTATTACAAACCATGTATCAGTGAAGATCCTTGACTATGCCTCTTAATATTTGCATATTAGTTTCTTTAGGGACCTTTGAAATCACTGAGTCAACTTATATGTACTTTTAAAAATACTAATTGATACTGCCAAACTGCTCTCCAAAACCAATGCACCAGTTACATTCCCACAACCATGTGTGAAAGTAAGCATTTCCCTTACAGCTTCACCAATATTGGATACTATCCAGCCTTTACATTTTTACTTTCTGATGGGTGAAGCTATTATTGTTTTATTTTGCAACAACAATTGTGTGGACAAAATATATTATAACTGTAGGCTATATTTAGCTAGGGCATAAGAAAGGCAAACAAAGTGAGCAACTACCAAAATAAAAACTCCCATACTCCATATCTTGCCAGCAACTGTATTTACTGATGTTTCCTCACAACTACGTTTATTTTATGAGTATTTTAAAACAACATGCATCCTGAGTAGCTGAGGGAGGGAACAGGGAAGAGGCAGGACAGTAGACAAAAGGAGAAAGGCCAATAGAGAATTTCAGAGATGAAAGAGAAAATAGTGGTCATCTCAGTGGCCCATTTCTTTTACAGATAAGGGAAAAGACAGCTGCACACTTGTAGGCAGTGCAGGGACTTCAGTCTTCTTGTTCCCAGGCTGGTGCTCTGTTCACTATAATTGTCAGGCCCAAGCCGGTTTGGCTCAGTGGATAGAGATCAGCATGTGGACTGAAGAGTCCCAGGTTCGATTCCAGTCAAGGGCATATGCCCGGGGTTGCAGGCTCTATCCCCAGTGGGGGTCGTGCAGGAAACAGCCAATCAATGATTCTCCCTCATCATTGATGTTTCTATCTCTCTCTCCCTCTCCCTTCCTCTCTGAAATCAATAAAAATATATTTAAAAAACTAAAAAAGTCTGTCAGAAGGGAAGTCAAACTGGGAAAACCTAGAAAAGGAGATTGAGGAAGAGAAAGACTAAATGAGAGGTAAGATCAGCCATTTTTAATTGGCCTCTTCAAAACTAAAAGAGGCTTGATACTTTAAGCAGCTTATGTAACAGTGCCATAAGGATGTCAAAGCAAAACAAGGCCTGCATGATATGTATCTGCTCACACATCAAGTGACTAAGTGACATAAGCCCTCAGGAATTCATATCTCTCTGCAGGTACTCTCCCTGGTGCTAAAGAAAAAGGGAGGGGAGTGTCAAATGTTATTAATGTCCCTGAAAATTCTAGATCAGATTGAGAACTGTGATTTGTGTTTATTTTTGTAATTCCTTTTCATTTTTAGTGTGTGGATTTCAAGACTATTAAGCTTTTATGGTGATCTTTAATCAGTGGATTTCTAGTCTTGAAATAAATTAGGTCTTATAAGATTTAGAATCTTCTCTTAAAGACTAAACCAAGAAGTTTGAGCAAAGGGATGAATTTCTCTGCATGCTTAAGAAACTTAACAGTTCCAAGTGACTAAAAATAAAGATCATACTAAAAACCGACTAGCAACCTATTTTACTAGACTTTCATACACATGTGGTTCGAAGTTAGGAAGGTGACATCATAGTCAAGAAAGGTGTGGGCCAAACTGCAGTAGGTGAATAAATTGTGGTTTTCAAAAACCAAAATTTCTGTTTCCCATTGCTTTACATAGGTTTTTCAACATGACATATTTTATTTTATCCAGATCTAGCTACAAATGAGAATTTAAGGCAGGATCATCCACTCTCTAAAACCTTTATGCTGTCGTCTTCTTACTCCAGTTCTTTACTAATTCACAAATAGGCATTCTCCACCCTAGTTCAAAAGAGCAAAACAAACATCTCAGTCAAGGCATCCTTTCTAATTCAGAGCCCAAAGAAGAGACCCCTGGGGGATGGGTCATATGGCAGGTTGAGTACTCTGGTTCTCTGATAGCAGGGGTGACCAGCTTTTAAAACCCTCTTTCTGGTTCCATTTCACCTCCTTGCCATCAAAGCCATTCTGCTAAAAACTTCACAGTTCTCCAAGAGCAGCAGGCCCTTCCCATTAGCACCTCCTACCTAGGAACCACTGACATCACTTCTCAGTACATTTCTCAGAACTTCTTGCCTCCATCCTATAGCTCCTCAAAGGTGAGAGTGATAGACTCGTACTCTTGACTACACTGCATGTGGTGCTACATTAAAAGAGAAAATTCTACATATGTAGAGAAGAGAGAAGGCTGGATGTATCACGGAATGATGAAATGGGTCATGTAAAAGGTTTCTTTTATATAGCATCTATCAGAAATCGCCAAACCTTTGAAAAGCCACAGAACTTCCCCCTCCCTCACCCCAAAATATTAATGTGGAATCCCGAAATATATAGAAGATCCAAAATTAGAGCCACTCTGGTTAAAAGAAAAATCTCCCCTTCCTCCATGAAGTAACCTGCTAGGGGACTGGTAGTGATCCCCACCTGAGGGACCCGGGTCCTCTCTAAAACCTAAAAGGAGTTTTCTCCCTTTTGTCAACTGATTGGCCCTTAAGTTGTTGAAACCTTAAGGGCTAAGGTTACAAGCATATTGATATATCTTTTTATGGTTGCATTAGGGTGAAAAGTTATGTCATTACTTAAGCATAGTATATATTGTAATTGGGAGGAGGGGCTTATTTGTGAATGGACAGACTAACTACTGAACATCTGATTGTTTTCGTTAGAGTTCTGTCCAACCTCCACACTGAATAGGTGGGGGCAAAGGCCCCAGAAAAGTGCAGAGATAAAGTCAGGTTTAGAAACCAACTCCCCTCTTGCTAGTCCAGTGTACTCGTTGGTACAACATACTTGCCCTAATGATCCCTTTCTGCCTGCTTTAGGCTCTTCCATTTTATTTCTTCTTAATTGAGATGTTTCCACAGTTAACAGGCTGCTTCTGTTATCCCCACTGGGATGTAATTCCCCACCACGTGGGTCTTGGAATAAAGGCTGTACATCTGAAGAGTTAAGTCTCATCCCATGGCACTTTCTATATGCTCTTGTAGTTACTATTTCCAAGCTAGGCTGGGCCCAAGAGACATGCAGACTGGCACTTTACACATACATAATTAAACACATAAAACCTTGAATTAAGAGCTTGTACCTAAAAACAACACCTTTCAATGTGCCTGGCCTGGCTGGAGGCCATTAACTCCTCGCTAGCTGGCCTGTAGGAAACCAAGGTTTTATTTACTTTTCCATTATAGGCAGATGAAAAAAAAAAAAGCAAGCATACTAGCTAGAAAACATCATGGGCTTAAAAAAGATTTGTTCCAGAAAAGTGTTGATGACATACTGAGAAAAATGAACCAGGGTCAGGTATAGGAAGCTACATGAAAGAAAAGCATCAGAGTCCACATTGATTAAAAATTTCAAAAATACTTGTTGTATTAGCCAAATGTCTTGCAAGGTTTATCCAGTATTTATTCTGGCATTTTACTTCAAGGGAGCTCCTTCCAAAACCCCTGTCAGGCGCCAGTGAGGGCAGGCAAGGGAAGAGCTACACCAACAAGCAGGAAGACAGTCCTTTCTGTATCTTGTGTCTCAGTGGAAAAGCCACTACTTGTGAGTAAAACAAGCACCCATTGCTAAGGGTTAGAAAACTATGCAGCAGCCTAGAAACACAGCAGACATGAACTACAAACTACAGCCCATGACCAACATGGTCAGTGCTGCCAAACGTTATCCTGACAACCTGGCTAAAAGACTGACCTGCTGGGATTTTACAATGGGGTGTTGAGAGGGTAGAGAACAGGTTATTAAAGTGTACATTTAACCTCTTCCTCAAACCATGGTTCTTATTTTCATCAGAAGCCTAGACAGAAGCACTCGTTTATATCCTCTTTCCACCTTTCATCACCCCCATTCTGTTAACAGAGCACCATGGGATTCCTACCTCAGTTAACACTTAGCTACCTCAAGAATCCACTCAATGAAGTTGCTGTTATTGTTATCTACACTAATAAAAGAGAAACATGGTAATTGGTGTACGACCGATACCCTTTTCATTGGCTAATCAGTGAATATATGCAAATTAACTGTCAGCCAAGATGGCGGC